GGGGGGTGGGTGGGGGGGGGGGTTTGGGGAGATGAGTAAATATCCATTAAAACACCCTTAAAATGGCATGAGCCTAAAAGCAGTACTCAAAGAAACTTGCCTAAAGCAGTAATGTTCAAGAAAAGCGCCGAGGGGTAGATCATTGTCGCTGTATAAATCAATGCCAATGATCCAAGGCATAATACAATTTTGTGGAGGGGCGGTTGGAGAAAATGAGAAAACAGAGCGAAGTATGTAAGTTAAAAGATGAGATCGCGCATCGCGGACACTGCGAGCAAGGCGTTTGAAGTGGGTCTGTAGAGAAGAAGTGGCATGAGTTAGAGCAAACTGCAAATTTTCACTTATGCATTATCTTCAAGCTGAAAATCTGCACTACACAATCGCTAAAAGGTTAGCCTATGGTTTCATACGGTAGAGTTAAGGTGTTCTCTATATGGTCAAAGAATTTGAGATATTCATTCTAACCCCGAGTTTAATATTACTTTCTACTAGAAGATTAAATGTCGATTCAGGACGCTTTTCTTAATCGTTCAACGCCCTTAGGACCGTACGGTGATCTTTCAAAATAAGCTCCAATGGTAATAGACTCATAACAGAAGGGGCTATTGCCGTTTGAAACATGTTCAATGCGTGTCTATAGCCTTCGCCTGATACCACCAAAACTCTCGCACGCTGGCGGCATTAGTCTACCGTGAAACAAGCCAGAAAAACATATGCCATTTGCACAAATTGTATTATTTTTAACGAAATATGCATTAAATAAAAATTTAAAATTTACTAGTTAGCACCCGAGGTAGGGGGGGGGGGGGACCTAAAGTTTGACAAAGGCTTTCAACTGGAGAAAGCCACAAAAAAGGAAATTAGAGCTGGTACAATGGGGGTGGGGGAGGTGTGAAAGAACAGGGAATCACTTCTTCAAACGACGACTGCAAAGGTGACATTCATAAAATAAAAAAATTTTGGAAACGAGACTATCGCATATAATTTCAACGCTTATAAACATAAAGAAGAATGGTAAACTAAGACGATTTTTTGGGCACAAATCAGAAAGTGTGCATATTGGCAAAGCGGAGTTTGTGTTCAATTTGTGTCCAGAAACGATGAAGAAAACAAATAACTACGTTTACTTCATAATAGACAAATTATTTGACATCATTAATATGTAAATATCCTTTTTCTTTTTCAGGGTAAAATGAAACAAAACAGGCAGAAACACTTCGGACAGATATTGCATGTTGCGTTCCTTTTAATAGGACTTGAACACCTGCAGGAGTGCAAAAGCCATTACTGGAATGCACGGCCAATTGACTACACTCTGTTGATGTGAATTTCGCTCTAGAGGATCCCAATCGGTAAATGGGAACTGAAATGATGCACAAAAATCATGACGACCTACACATCCTGATGATGGCGCAATAAGGTACCTCGTTGAACTTAAACCCTTTTTAACGATTCAATGACTAACAAATCAGCTCACACGTCCATGCTCATTTACGCAATTACACTTGAAGCACATGGGTAAATTGAACTTGGGTGCTACTGTCGCTGTAACAACTCCCAAGCACAACAAATATGATCGGAGAAACAGGTGCTTTTATCTGTCATCAAGAAAACCAAGAAATGGTCATTTTACACCAGTTTTCTACTGAGAGAGAGAGAGAGAGAATTAGATCGCTCACGACAAAGTTAGTGAGGAAAAAATGGTTGTCTCCAACACAAAACTTCGAGACTTTTCCATGCATTTGTTGGGAAGCACATGGATGTACGAATTTTTAAAACCGGGAGAAATGCTTACATTCCAACACCAGTTTGGAACATTGAAGTGGAAATAAAAGGATAAAGGTATAATCCTATTGATTAAAAATAGGGGATTAATTCCTCGATATCCCAATTTCACCAAGAGCACCAAGATTTAAATTGAGGTTTAACCACATCCTCCACTTTCACCAGACCTTATCCATCTGATAAATATCCTTGTAGGACCATGAAGCATACACTAAGAGAACAGCGGTTTTAGATTGAAGCAGGGATCCAAATCCATTTGTGAAAGTATATTCTACTTCGAAAGTTACACAAGGGCAAAAGGAAATAATTGTAAATGATGACCAAATTACACGCTATTTGATATTATATACATGATTTTAAACCAAGTAACAATCTAAATGAACGATTCTTATTGGTACTCATAATATATGATACTTGAGGCGCCAAAATAAGAAAATTTTTCATATTATACGTTAATACACCTGCTGTTAGTATTTCACTTGTGCCCTCGAATACTGCAGTATGCAATACCCCATACATGTATTACCTACCATCGCATGGCCCGCGAAGCATAAAAGTTAATCTAACAGACATAATGGGAAAAAATATTATATGCGTTGACTGCAAAAACATTTTCCTTTAGATCATTTGCGTTTTGGTTTTCGGGTTTTACGATATTTACTTAACGGCGAGTTTATGTACGGGAATTCATATCTCCTAATTCAAGGCTGAATTATTGGCCAAATTCTTTACCCCCCCCCCCCCCCCCCAGAGTATTCAAATAAGATAACATGACATGCGAATAAAGTTTTATGCAGAGCTAGTTGGTTCATATGATTTTAAAACAGGGGGTTACCAATCAAGACGTATGTTGGAGCCTCTTTAAATGTTATTTTGTGTCCTTCAATCACTATCTTGAATAAGAATCAATAATTATCGATGACTCTAACTGACTAAAGCACATTTATAGCAAGCACCAATGAAATACCATCCCTCAGGTTCATTTAGAGCAAATAAATGTAACCAGTTAACGCAACTTTAAATAATTTCCGACAAAATGGTTAAAGAGGTTAACAGAGTTAAAATCTGATGCGCAAAGAATAAAACTAAAAGCAGGTTTCTGGAAAAATGCTCTACTTATCAAATTTCAATTACTTGCATCAATATATAAAAAAAACCCCTTACTTTGGCACGAGTCCTTGAAGGCGGAAATCGTGACGAATTTGATTTAGCAGCGTTTACAGCCGCAATTATCCTTCCTTGAGCTGTCCATCTGCGAAGAAATCTTTGCTCCTTCTTCCCTGTACCTTCATTACCCTTTGCTTCCCCAACTGGTTCAAAACCCACTTCAACCAATCCCTTTCGAAGAGGGTAGAGCTTCCTTTCCGACACAACTACCTTTTGCCTCAATATATCATTCAGGCGTTGCCTGAAACCCCATTCAACCAGATAAGAGTAGTACTCGAAAAGTGGAGACCTTTCCGCTTCTGGGCTAGATAAGTAAGGGATTTTGGTGTCCACTAAAGGGGAGAGGTTGATTAATCTACCAGCAAGATGTTGAGCTAGTTTTTTAGGATTTTTAGGGGGTGGTGTCTAAAAGACAGAAAACACTTCAAAAGTACAAATTTCTATACCGACTTAACAGAGCTGCATAAAGCCACAAACCATGTTTAGTGGATTATTCGTGATAATGAGTTTAGCGTCCTTCAGGAAGGCCATTTCAAATCCCCCATTGAAACAAGCTAAAATGGCAAGCTTGAAGCATCTCTTTACTAATTTGAGAGTGGCCAATTCTGGACCCCGAAAAATGACAGAGAACGTGGGCATACGAATTGATGTTGAATCAGATGAAATCTCTTGTTCAGAAACAGGCCACAACCCAGGAATATGAAGCCATTTCAAGGAGGAAGTTTCATTCAATACTGGAGGATCGTTGAAGCAGAATATACACAGCGGTTTAGTTTGTCCTATGAAGAATGATGAGGACCCATCTACGTTAATGAAATTAAGATGATAATGAAGAAAGAATTTAGCGTACCCTTAAGTTGTGGCATTCTCAGAAGTTTGTACCATCGACATGTCCCAATACAAGAGTCATCGAAGTTCCCACTCAACAGTGCATCAATCGAGTTTACAATTGCTGCACCGGTTGAAGCAGCCACTCGAAACATGATAGCCTAGAAAAGGTATAGAAGAATAGTAATTGTGATGCATATAATGGCGGTGTTTGTGGACCCAAGGATTTGATCCACCTATTATTATTTTAAAGTGGATTTTATTTTATTTATTTTAATTTAAAGGCAGTTGCCTTTAAATTACCATGAACTGACTGTGTGGCATATTCGACCACTCCCGCAGTACTCACCTCAGTTTACCTTTTTCTCTACCTTTGTGTCTGTTTGTCTCTTTTACATCTGTGAATCGCTCTTCTCTTCCCCACCTCTCGAATTTCTGCTATTCTGATTAACCTCCCCTCTGTGAAGCCCGAAGTCAGCTAAATGGCAAATGATAGCCATCAAAACGCCTGTCATCTGAAATAAATAAATAAATATGATGGAAAGTTCATGTCAAAGAAGTTGATTATCCTTGCTATTATTTTTAAATTTGTTAGCCACTCAACTATTATCAACATTTTTTGAAATAGGCTGGGAATTTCGGATATAATCAGCCTTGAGGTAATATGCTAAAACTTAAATTTAAATAATATCAAATTAAACAGCCAAATAACAAAACGAAAAACAAAAACATAAAACATTTTGTTACGGTCGGGAATTAAAGGCCTGGTTCGTGGCGGTGTTAGTAGTGGAATCCAAACTGAAATAATCTGATCATTTTAATATATTTAGAAGAACATTTTTTCTAAAAATTAGATCTTATTCAATTATCTTGACTTATTGTGATAATAAATCGAAAAGAGCAACGAGCCTTTTTCAAGCAACAACGAAAACATTTAACATGAGTCAGTTTGATTAGAGGTAGCAACACTTGAATATCCCCTAAGACTCTGGAAATCGTGTGTATGCGTTATTCGCCTAATCCTTTCATTAACAAATCCACTAATTTGTCTGCATACGGTTTAAAAATTTGGACAGTTTTTTTTAAAACTTACCATGGGTAAATAAATGATAAATCATAAAATCTTCCTGTTTAAAGTCTAAATTCTACCTTAATATAATCATCTCGAATGGCTCTTAACATCATACAATCCACATATTTGCACAAGTCACTACAGTTCCATCATATTTTAACCTTACATTAATATATTCATATATAGGCTTTCGCTTTTATTACAAAATATCAACAATTATAGATAATTCACTTACGTTGGACTGGTGGTTCCGCTTCGTTATCTAAAGTTCAAAATGATCTCTTGCGTAAGCTTTAAAGTTTTACAAACTGTTAACAAAGATTTCTGAGTAAAACATATTTGGTGGCTTAAAATTCACTTGATTAAAAGTGGCTACGCATTAACACCTGTAAGTTAAGTTAAGTGGACGCCGCAAACAATGGCGAAGATTAGTACTAAACTTGCCTTCTCTCGCGGAACCCCCATCTAAAGTGTAAAGTAAAAGGTCATCAAGAAGTGATAAATTTTGTGTAAAATAGCAAAAACTCAGTTTTACCTTTTTCAGTATATGTTTCTTCGCTCACTAAAATCAAAATTGGTTCCCAATTACTTTCTGATTTATATAAAAGGGAGCTTTTAATAACATTACATCCGTAAATTATAGAGTTTTCGATTTTGATTAAGTTAAAAGTGTCCTTGACCAATTAGTTTGCCTTAAGTGTTCAGAGTACCATCATTTTACAAATGAACGGACCTAACCCTTTAACGCCCTTATGACCTCACGGTCCCCTTTCAAAATAAGCTAAACTGGTACCAGACTCATAACAAAAGGCACCGTTGCCGTCAATGATCTTCGCCTGATGCCTCCAAAAGCTCATCAGATCGGCGACATCAGTCTGTTGAGAGACACGTGCGAATCCAGTTGTGTGAATGTTTCAAATAATAATTCGAGCGTTAAAGGGTATGTATAATCGGCGAAATTCATTGGCAGGTCGTTTTCAACAAATGAGAACGCTGTTGCATCTCCTCCAGGTTTAACCATTGACAACAGGCTTCAGCATCTTTCGGCAATTGTATCTCATCAAGGACAAAATTTTGGCACTTTTTTCCATTGCCTTTGTATTCTTTTTAACTTATTTTAATTCCTCTATGAATCTATACTGAATAAATTTAAGTGGGATGTATAATTAATTTTTGCTAAAATGATTGATATAATAACAGCGTAGTTTTAAAAATTTAATCCAACAACTTATAAATAGAGACGACAAATTTGTTTCCCTATATAGCAAAAATATGATTTCCTATTTTGATAAATTAGAATTGAAAAGCACCATCTTAGAAGTGAAATATTATCATGATATAATCTTGTAGATTAGTTGCTAGAGCAAATTACCAATTTTTTAAATAATAATAATGAGAGTAAAAAGTAATTAGATAAATAAGCAAACAAATTCGCGGTTATTTAAAGTTTCAATCACCTTCATGATGTTCCATTTCATAACGAACAGCTTTGTCGAAGCTCTCGATTGCCAACTTGTTTATTGTAGATACCAAAATTTCTTCCATAGCGTTGTCCACGATGTTATCTTTAAATCGAAGCGAATGTTAATATTTAAAGAAGAAGTTGCAAGATTTTCAGGTGTTCTATACTGACACTTTCACTAAATAAAAAACGCAGGACAAGAAAGAATCCTCAGAATTCATTTTCCAATATTCTTTTCAACAGAGCTTCCAATTTCATTGATAAAAAGTAAGCCTTTTATGAAATGAGCTAGCTGTTATTAGCATATCAATTTCTCTTGATAAATTAAAACAATTTTTTGTGTTTAAAATGGCTTCGTAGATAATTGCTTCAAATTGAGCCTGAAGGAATTATTAATTTGGTCTCCTGTAATTCTAAGGTCAAGATTTAAGAACTAATTTTTAAATCAATACAGAAGTGGACGATATTGAAATTTGTTGCGATCAATTAGTTATAAATTCGCCTTTCTTCCATGAATTAGAAATAGTGTCCATCAAGACATCTTAGCTTACGTTGTGGAGTGAACAACGCTATCATGATTGAACTGTGGGACACGTCATCGCATGCGTGTACACATAGGCTTGAGGTGCGGCCGTACAACTTCGCGTACTGATTGAGGACAAGAGCACGCAGCCAATAGCAGCTCAATGACCCTCATTTGTTTTATCAAATCCGCCATGTGTATGACTGAGTTCCTTCCTCTATACACTTCTTGCGTGTAATGTCTACTGAATAAACGTGCTCCGTGCTAGACGTCTGTTTCCTTTAAAAGCTGGGCTATAGCTTAGCTGGTTCTGGGAGTCTAGCTAGATGTTGGAGAATTTGCCATAGAGATTTCTGAGTCAGTCAGGCTTTACTAAGGTAGCAATCCGCTACAAATTGGTGACCCTGACGTGATTGCCAAAGTCTGACTTCAAGTGCTCAGCAGAGAACCAATCTCTCACTGACTTCGGGATTTTCTTTCGTCGTCCCACAATTCCCTCGGTGATCTCTTCTCGCTCGAATGATTGTCACCTTACGTCCACTGCCGTTTCTCACGA